CTGTTGAACACATGTTGCAGCTTACTGTTACAACTGAGAAGAATTCGATATGCATCATGAAATTGATTATTACTTCAAATTGTTACTGAAATTTTAGACATTTGATTTTATTATTAGTGGTTGTTGATTTGAATCAAGGCTTATTAAGTAGCCAACTACGTCGGTAGCACGTGCATTGCACGTGCATCTGACTAGTCTGAAAATAGGGGTATGGAACGTGCCTAACCCATCCCATTCAATGGAAAAGTCCAAGATAGGCTGCTATCGACCATCAAGATGCCATTCGGCTGACCGTTTGACATTAAATATGAAATGACAAGCCAGTAGATAATTATCAAAGACTTCTACACAAAAAAACGAAATTTTTGTTCTCACAACAATAAGAGATTCAGCTGTCCAACAACCTGCTGATTCTATTTCTCAAAAATATCCAAAGGTAAAATACAACAAAATGGGGTTAAAAATCTCAATGTTCACTATATTTTCAACATATTTCTCAACCGTCCCTAAAGTTTTAAAAAAATTGAACAGTCAAGATAATTTCAACATTGCTTTCCATCCATTACTAAGCTCCTGTTCGGTGAGGATTAAAATCAAAATTTTAGTATATTTTGATAAAAGTTGATGAAATGTGTGGTTGTAAAGTTGTGAACCCTATAAAACATATGAATAAAATTCATTGTTAATTTTGATTTAGATTAAAATCTAAATTTTAATTCTTGCTAAGTTTCCTTTAGAAAGTTCAAAATTTCGATGACGTGGCAAATAGAATATTTAAGCCGTGTTTGGTGAGAATTAAAATTAGATTTTAATAGATTTTGATAAAAAATTTTGAAAAAAGTTGCGGGACCCAAAAAGTATGTGTTTAATATTAATTGTTTGACTTTGATTTAAATTAAAATCTAATTTAAATCAATACCAAAAAGGGGCTTAATTTATCGAATAATCTAGAGCGATGAATGGAAAGGAATATTAATGGTACAATGCTTGCTTAGAAACAGATTTGAAAGAATAGTGGAAAGTTCGTTCAGTGACTTGGGGAAACAACTTCCAAAGTACTGTGACTATGCAGAAAAAATTTAAAATTCAGTGATGGGAGAAACTTTGAAAGTACAGTGGGCATTGATAGAAAATGATTCATATTTCACAGAAGATGATTCCAATCCAATGACTTGAGTAGAGCGATAAGTCATATAACAGGTGTCCAATTGACAAAACAAGGTGACATAAAGAAAAGAAAAATAGAGCAGGAATGAGCTCAGTTGAAGACATGGCTGAAAATACTCGTTCAAGAAATTATTGGAGATGGAGCAAACAAGATTTCTTCCCGGAAAAATCTTTTGAAGATTGGAGTAACTACCGATCTGCCCTATCACAGACAACTTCAAGATTCAAGGACCGCCTTGTAAGTAGGTCCGATGATGCACAGGAGATTGTGGAACTTCGAAAACAGAGCGAGAATGAAATGAAACGTTGCCTTAACTGGTGGGATCTCATCTGGTTCGGATTCGGTGCAGTCATTGGAGCTGGCATCTTTGTACTTACTGGCCAAGAAGCACATAATCATGCAGGCCCAGCCATTGTCTTATCATATGTTGCTTCAGGCATTTCTGCAATGCTCTCTGTTTTCTGCTATACCGAATTTGCAATAGAAATTCCTGTGGCTGGAGGATCATTTGCTTACCTGAGAGTAGAACTAGGAGACCTTGCAGCCTTTATAGCAGCTGGAAATATACTTCTTGAATCAATTGTCGGAGGTGCAGCTGTCTCTAGATCTTGGACTTCATACTTCACAAGTCTTTTGAACCGTCCTCCCAACTCATTACGAATACATACAAGTCTAAAGGATGGATACAACCTTTTGGATCCGATTGCTGTTGGAGTTCTCACAATTGCATCAGCAATTGCAATGGCCAGTGCAAGGAGAGCTTCCTACATAAATTGGATTGCATCGGCAATAAATACTTTGGTGATTTTATTTGTGATAATTGCAGGATTTGCTAATGGCAATGCATCCAATTTGAAACCTTATTTGCCTCATGGTGCCCAAGGGGTCTTCCAAGCGGCGGCAATTGTGTACTTCGCCTATGGAGGATTTGACGCCATTGCAACCATGGCAGAGGAAACAAGAAATCCATCAAGAGACATACCATTAGGATTGCTAGGTTCAATGTCGTTGATCACTGTGATATATTGCTTGATGGCACTTTCATTGACCCTGATGCAGAAGTACACAGATATAGACCCTGATGCAGCTTACTCTGTCGCGTTTCAGAAAGTGGGAATGCACTGGGCTAAATACCTGGTTGCCCTTGGAGCTCTCAAGGGGATGACCACAGTTCTTCTGGTAGGAGCTCTTGGGCAGGCACGTTACATTACTCATATTGCACGAGCCCACATGATTCCACCATTTTTTGCACTTGTCCATCCAAAGACAGGAACCCCCATATATGCTACACTTCTAATCACCATTTCGAGCGCCTGTTTTGCCTTTTTTTCAAGCTTGGATGTCTTGGCAAGTTTGTTATCTGTGAGCACACTCTTTATCTTCATGATGATGGCTGTTGCACTTCTGGTGAGGAGGTACTACGTTGTAGGAGTCACTCCCAGAACAAATCTCTTGAAGTTAGTTATTTTTATATTGCTCATCATTGCATCCTCCATGGGCACTTCTGCTTACTGGGGATTAAACCCTAGAGGATGGATCGGTTACACCATTACTATTCCTGTTTGGTTCTTCGGGACTATGGGGATTGCAGTGCTTTTGCCACAAGAACGAACACCAAAGGTCTGGGGAGTTCCACTTGTTCCATGGTTCCCGTCCTTGTCAATTGCAATAAACTTGTTTCTCATGGGATCGTTAGGAGCTCGAACTTTCATAAGGTTTGGCATCTGCACAGTTATAATGTTAGTATACTACATCTTTTTCGGCCTCCATGCTACTTATGACACGGCTCATCAGCAAATCAAAACAGAATCTTCAAAATCTCCAGAAGAAGATGGGTTAGAGCAACCAAGGCCGTAAAACTATCAATCTCTTGTTCTCCTTTAACAAATGCTTTCAGAATATATTTCTGTAATAGCAAGTTCAGCAATGGTGATAAATAAATTAGAAATCAAGTGATCTACCGAGCAACAACGATGAGAATGAAATTAATTCTCAAGTAACCATTCACCATCTTTTGTTGCAAACCTAGTCCAGCTGTGATACTACACTCTAAAAGCAAATTTTACTACTGCACTAAAATGTACCCACTTCATGGCTTAAGCTAGTTCACTGAGGTATTCTGAAACAAACTTGAATTTACTGCACATATCTGCATAATGCGTGAAGGAATTTTACCTTCTAAATACAATATAGCTGTTTAATGAATTACTAATTATTCAGCCCCAACTCAGGTGAATGAATAAAATTAATGTGAATTACACATAGTTGCCAAAGCACAATATAACTAAGCTAAAGGAAAGAGACAGGGTTTAATGGCGAAAGGGATATTACCTCAGCTTGCAACATATGATCAAACTCCTCAAACATACATCTCGGAAAGAACTTTTGTGTTCGTCTATCTTCTTTTTTGAAGTATTTAATTATTCACAACCATTTCAAAATCTTGAAAATACTTCAGGACCCCTATAAATTTTCAGGTGACAACAAAGGTGATTCATAACCAATTTGCTGATCGTACCTGGATGACTCGCAGATAAGAGGGTTAACAAAGTCCACAGTTTGAAAGAAAATGTGGTTAAAAAAATAGAGCAGCATAAATTGCAGTATTGGAAAGGTTAAAATCCATTTCAATATGGTATAAAAATCATGATTTGATACTAAATTGGTACTAGATAACGAAGTAGATGTGAAAACCAACTTTCAAATCACCTGATCAAAGAATCTTAATGTAAATGGCCCAATACAAAATTGCTTTCTGAAGAGTCTCTAGAATAATGGCTACACATGAATAAAATCCCTAGTAATCAATCACGTGTGTTCCTAAATCACAGATGATTGGCTTGTTTGCATCAAAATTCTCAGCACAGCATGCATTTATATAAAGGTAGGATTACCCCAAAAAGAATGCCTTCCATTTTGTTCACGTCTAGAAGAAAAAACATAAAACTTCCATGAACATTTGATGTCATAAAAGGAGCCAGTGAATCTGCCCCCCATCTTATAGTGAACATTAGAAAATACATTGCATGACAATTTGGCATGAAAAGAAAGTAGTGATCAAAGAAGCTGCATCTCTGAAATCAGCTAAAATAATTCATTCCAACACTTGTCAATGGCTGTTTGAATCTTCTTCGGTTTACAAAATTCACGAATAATTTTTTCCCAAGTGGAGGCTTTAGGATGAAGAAACTTATGAAGCATCACTTCTATAATTTTGGAAGCTGCTGTAACACGATGCCTTTTGTATAACCGTAGCACTAGCTCATCCAGAAACTCACTACCATTTTGTGGTGGATTTAGCTTCTCCTTTAAAGTAGTCAAGAAAGTGTTGCATGTAACCGAGTCAGGATCACAACCTTGCTCCAACATGTTATTTAAAAGATCAATGGCGCGAGAAAGGCTGTCCTGTTTGCACAAAGCACTAAGAAGAATGTTATAGGTAACTACATCGGGTTTGGAATCAGACTCTTTGCATAGCATCTCATTGAATAATTTTAAGCCCTGTTCTACTGACCCCGCAATGCAGAGACCATGAATCATTGAACTATAAGCCACAACATCAGGTGTATGTCCTTTACCAAACATATGCTTCCAAACCATCAGAGCCTCTTTCAGTTTCCCATCCTTGCACAGCCCACTGATAAGTACACTTTGACATACATCGTTCTCCATACAATCTTCATCAGCCATCTCTTTCCACACAATGAGTGCTTTATCACTGTTCCCAGTCTCGAAGAAACCCCTCATGAGGGAGCTGTACGTATAAGCATTTGGTTTGCAACCCATTTTAATCATCTCAGAAAGAACTTCTTCTGCTTCATTTGACTTTCCTACCCGACATAAGCCATCTATAAGAGCACTATAAACAACTGTATTGGGCTTGCATCCCTTTACCATCATCTCCTTCCACATTCTCACAGCCTGTTCAGGTTTTCCCGCTTTGAACAATCCACTAACTAGGGCTGAGTAAACATATTCATTCGCACTGTGCCCTCTTTCCTCCATGGCCAACAATACTCGTGCACCATCAACAGCTCTTCCTTGCTTAACAAGTCCATTTATAATAGTCCCATACGTAACATCATTGGGAATGCATTTATTCAACAACATCCTATCCAAAAGATCGGTTGCCTTGTCCAATTTCCCTTTGAGACATAAGCCATGTATAAGAGTGTTATATGTCACTTCATTTGGAACACAACCTTTGAGAAACATATTATCCACAAGTTTTGCTGCTCGAGCCAAGTCCCCCTTCTTGCAAAGCCCATTGATCAAGATGTTAAATGTCACTGGGCTCGGGAAACATCCTTCTATCTGCATCTCATCCAACAGAGCCACTGCCTCATCAATTCTATCCACTTTACACAACCCATCCATCAATGTGCAATATGTGTACACATCTGGCACAGACTTCCAAACTGGCATTTCCCTGAACACATGTATAGCTCTATCAACTAATCCTAATTTACACAATGCTTTAACAACTAAATTAAATGTCAATACATTAGGGGAAATATTCTGTGTGCTAACAATTACATAATTATAGAACTCCACTGCACGACTATACAAACCTTCTTGAATTATCACGTTAAGAACCGAGTTAAATGACTTAACCGTTCGTTTACATTGAAATTCATCAACCATTCTACTAAACAGCTCAATTGCCTTTTCTGTTAAGTGTGCTTTCCCATAAGCTCTAAACACCACAATAAAATTCTTCTCAATAAAAGCTCTTCTTTCCCGTTTCATTCTACTAAAAACCATCTCCAAGGACGTGAAATCCCCAGACTTGGCATAATTCTCAATAAGGGAATAAAATGTGGAGTCACCACGTCTGTAAGACCCCGACTTTGGGGCATCTCTGAATATTTTATCAGGAATTGGAGGATCTTTTTCAAAATCAAGACCAGAACCTTGGGGTGGCTCAATAATTTTACGGGAAACAGGGGGTTCAATAAAAAATTGTGAATTTTGAATATCATATTCAGTATTAGCGGAGGGTTTGGAAAGAGCTGAAGAGTAAGGGCAACAGTGTGACTTACATGGGATTGAAAAGAGCTTCAAAGTAAGGTGCTTTCTGTTAAATTTGGTGATGGGCATTCCTGTAATCAGTAGAAGTTAATACTTTGTGCAAAATACTTAACATATTCTCAGAAATTCAAATGGGATTGTAGATAAAGGCATAACCATGGACAGGGAGAAATAGGGAGGCGGAGATTTGAGGTCCAGGAGTAATTGAATTCGATCGGGGTTTGGGAATCGGCTATTTATTTGTGCGTGTAAACCGTCTGGGGCAATCCAAGGTTGGGCTAAGCTTAGAAAAAGTAGGTCTTTCACTTGGACTTCTCCAAGTAAAGTGGTGGTTTTATGACTTTTTTTTTTCCCTAACTGCGTCCCTCAAATTGGCTTTCTTCCGTTAAGCTAAAATAAAATGATAAAGTGCACTCGAATTTAAACATTCGATGTAATAGATGAAAAGAGAGTTCGGAACGAAAAAGTAAGAGGAGAAAGAATACAATAATAAAAAGATCCGTCGTATTTGATGCCGTCAACCATCAACAAACATACACTCTTAAGGAATCAGGTCATAGGGATGACATAGCCCTTCCATCCTACCTTTTATTGATAGTAAATGGGATGAGGACGGGATTGAATTCACGACTCACGTCTGTATCTTTTTTTTATTATATATTTTTTAATTTTTTTTAAAAATAAATGAATAATATAACAAGATGTTAAATGGAGATTTTTACATCATCTCCCTTTCAAAAATTCTTGATGGACGGGGATGTTAATTGCAAATTCGGCCTCACTACACTGTGTTGCCAACTCTATTAGGTCATTGATAACAACTACAAATTATTAATATCTCTATTCAACTCTTGACTATTTGATAGAATCAATGTTTTTAAATCGAGAACAATTCGAACGCATCGACCTGACGACGACAATATTCCAGGCCCTTAATAATTATGATTTGCTTATGAGTTGTTCATAACCCAACAAAGATTAGGAGTGGGAGAATGGGGATTGAATTGGATGAGATGATGGAGCTTTTGGGTTGAGGAAGAAGGATTGAAATTCTCTCTCTTTTTTCATTTTCATTTTCGTTTTCGTTTTCGTTTTCGTTTTTTACTTTTTAAATTCGAGGGCAACTTTGTTATTTCATATCAGTTTAATAGAAAATTTTAGACGGACAGTCGGACACATTATTCAAGGACAAACTATTCTAATTTACAGAAGGTGGGGGACATGATTGCTACTTTGAGCAAATGTTGGGGATAGTACATGCAAAAAAGTAAGTTATTTCTTTTAATAATTTCTTATTATTTAATACATGTGTTACCTATATTTTTTACGTGTTTAAGAGCCCCAGTAGTTTGACAAAAATGTATTTTGAAATAGTAATTGAAGGAGAATGTGTGTTTAAAAAATAAAGAATTTTTTTAGATTTATGTGTAATATTATTTTATTGAAAAATATGTATTAAAAATAAATGAAAAAAAAATATATTTTAAAAATAATGTTACTAGAACCAGGAGACCTTTTTCCGTTACTTTTCTAAATAAATAAAGAAGTTTTTTTCATTTTTTTTTTGAAAATGTTTCCTTTTTCAGTTTTGCTCTGTAATTTTAAAAAATAGAGAAAATAAAGAGACAATTGGTGTTCGCAGGATAGGCGAACCGGTTCACCGCTAAACCGGTTATTGTCCAGCCCTACTTGCCATATTAGACCCAGTAACTTTCCATATCGGAGATCCAAAATCTCTGTATCTGTATCTATACTTCGCACTTGTAAATAAATAGTTAAAGTGGGTAACAAATAATTCTCATTTTCGCCAAAAAAATTTCACACTCGCGGTTAGCTGATTATACATATAGAAACCCTAACCCCCAATTTCGTGTAGAACAATAATTAATTGCAGAATAAGTGGAGGGGATAATTTGAGGGTTTCTTTTGTTTTTTGTGTCCTGAATTTTTTGGTCAGAATTAATTTTGGAAAGAAGAAGATGAAGCTGAATCTCTACATCAGCTTCACCTTTTTCTGATAAGACTGTTACCGTTACATGGCCAGTTCTCAATCTCAGCATCGCAGCGTTTTTGGTTAGTTCTTCCTGCTTGCTCTATCTTTTATTTTAATTATTCACATGAAAATTCTTCGTTGTAAATAGTCACACAAGAATTGTCAGAGTGATGAAATTTTTCGCTTTTTACTGATAATTGTATTGGTTGACATATATAGTTGGGAATATACCGTATGATGCCACTGAAGAACAACTCATTCAAATTTGTGAGGAGGTTGGCCCGGTCGTTTCATTCAGGTCAGTTCAATTCAAAGGAAAAAAATCAACATTATGGCTTTCCACTTCTCTCTGGCTATTCCTTAATTGGAAAAATAAGTCCTATTTGATTTGTTATTGCCCC